CCCTTTCCCCCTTCCCCCCTCTGTCTTCGGCTGAATATATTCCATTTTCCATGTATCTTGTTCGCAGGTCTCTGTGTGTGTGTGTTCGTGATCACAACTATCGCGCGTATCACAACACCAACCGTTGTGCGTCGGCCGGCTTATCCTTTTCGCAATCAATCCCCCCCCCCCTTTATCAATTAGTTTAGTGCGCCTCCCTCCCTCACACGCCCTTCCCCTCCGCTACTTCTCTGCTACCCCTCTCACCTACCAGTTTGCGGTGCCGCTGCTGCTTTGTATGGCCTTGGGGTGGGGCGTCGGCAGCGCGTCCAGCAGGCCTTGGGGCCGAAGGAACCGAAGGCAGGCAAATTAATTCGTCTGTCCACGGCCTGGCCGAGGGTCTGGTCCTGGGCATGTGTGTCCGATGGGGCATGGCGGCGACCGAGCAGTCGGCTGTGCGCAGCATGGCTGTAGTCGTGCCAGAATAGAATTGTGCTTTTCTACCATGTAGTTTTATTTTAAATTTATGTTTTTTGGCCGGCTGGGTTTACGTGCACTTTACTTGATTGTTTAATTTTTCACGCACACTCTTTAATGCGCCCCTCACCTGTCTTTTATGTCAGTTGTGCGCGCAACAGGTGGGGCTGCGCCTTCTTGCTGTGGTTGAGTTTGTGAAATCTCGGGCGGCCTGAGCGGGAAACCTAAGGCTTCTCTTTTTGCGCGATCAAAAAGAATGAAAGTGTCAACCTTATCAGGAAGTTTCCAGCTGATAGCGATAAACTTGCATGGGACGCCCCTGAATAGGCAGCCTGGCAATGAGGGTCTATTGTTGACGGCCAGGCACCTTGCAAGGGTGCTGTGTGAAATGTTGTGAAAAGTAGTGTAGAAAGACATCGTTAACTTTTAATTATCGTTGCGATGGTTCTTTGTTTAACTCACATTGTAAAAATAGCATGAAAAATCTACCCCCACTACACCTTCTCAGTTTTAAAATCTCTCGTTCTCAGTCCCGATATGGCAAAATAAGTTGATCTCCGTCACTGACGCAGTCCCGTCTGCGTGTTGTTGGTCGTTGTGGTCACCCTCCCCAGGCAAAGGACTTGTCGAGGGGGATGTGCATGATGTTCGACTCGATCCTGGTTCCCGCGGTGGTTTGCTTGGCCGGGGGCGGTGAGAGTTGCGGCGAGGGCGGTGGTCCTGCCGGTGGCGTCCGCGCGCTGGCCACGACGGGTGCCCCGGCGCTGGCCGCCTTGTTGTGCGTCACTCGGATCCACTGGTCCACCGTAAGGGTGGGCATGTCTGTGGCGGCGGGGGCGTCGTCCTGCGGGGGCTGCGGGGGCTGCGCGGGCTGCAGACACACACAATAAGGGGCATTAGAGCGCTGTCGAGGGGGCGCGCCGGGGGCCGGGCCGGCCCGCGTCTGGCGCGGACAGACAACACACACCCACCGTCATCGTCGCTGCCCTGGTTGTGGAGTTCGCCCACAGTGTTGTTCCAGGCGGAGTGCTCTTTGCAGGGTTCGGCCTTTTGGCGGGAACAACAGGCTGAGGCGGTTGCGTTTGAGGTGGCGGCGGTGGTGGCGGTGGCGGTGCCGGGGGCAGG